TGGAGTGTCGTAATTCGGACTCTATGTGAGCTAGTGGCCTCATCTCTTCATTGTATATTGATGATGTTTCATGCACTATAAAACCCCATCATCAATGACAAGAAAACAGTCCGATTTAAATGAAATTTGGTATGTTGATAGATTGGACAAGGCCGACTTGACTGTAGTGTTCGACACGTAGATATATAGATAGATAGATTGGACAAATTGGCCAACTAACACATGTCACTGTGACAGTAAGTAAGTAAGAAACATCAAAAGTTGATGTTGTCCGATCGCGACCTAATTTGGTGGGTAGCCTACGTGTGCGACCGTCCAGTTAGAACGCCGTTTTGCTTACATTTTCATCAGTGTGGGACTAAGGATTTGATATTGAAGAAAAATGTGGGTCGATTTCGGCATAATTTGGGACGGGCTACAGGATGACGCCCTCAACGTTTCGAACGAATGCCTTTAAGACCGTACACATACGGATCGTCTCAAACTCGAAGCAGAAGCGTATCAAACTCTACTTCCTACGTAAATAATAGTAGGTCCTCAAACGGGTCGTTTGGCGGTCGACGCGGTGTCAATATGTTTCATACTATTATTTACATACCAAGGTAGAGTGGAGGGAGATACGCTTGGAGTTCGAGACGCTTCAGCTTTGAAAACGACCCTTGTTCGGACAGTCTAAATGGACGAAATCGTGAGGATTTTTCTTAATTCCGTGGTTTTATGGTAAAAGGTACTAATCAAAATTTTGCCGTTTTTCTTGTTACATAATATTATAATATGGCAATAAGTTCCATTGCGTTTGATTTGGTTTGGCATTTGAGGCCAAATGGAACCATATTATTTTTATGGAATTCGAAATTTTGTACAAAACACGTTTTTCGTGTTACAATAACATCGCAATGAGATTTCGACATATGACATTTTTTGCCATAAAACCACCGAATTATGGGTCGATTGTAACAAAATTCGGCATGTGGATAGAGGTATCCGAAATGGAGTCCTCAGATGGACAGAAGACCGTTTTAATACAAATTTTGTGAAAGTGAATCAAATTATTTAATAAATTATTACTTTTTTCAAGATTTCAAACTACACTTTTTCAAACGTGTCCTTCAAATCCTTCAATTTAATAGCAGTTAGTAAGAAGTTTCACTTCAAATATGCGCACATAGTCCACACGCAATTTTTTTTAAATATATCCAATTATCTTGATCTATTTGAATAAAAGTACCTAATAAATCACAAAAATTCCGGATTTATCCATAGATAAAAAAAATAATAATTTTTCTAAATGCTGAACGAAATTAGGTTTATAACTTTGTCGGGCCAATTATATTCAAAGAGTCAAAGCGAGTGAAAACCGCAAACTTCTAGAAAATGGTCGCGTTTCCGGTCCAGAATAGTTGGAAACGTAAGTTTCCGAAACGAGAATTTAATCAACAATATTTCAAATTTAAGCCCAACGTGTAGTTTCTAAACTCACCCCCTCCCCACACTTCTCACACATTTAGTCCGATGTTGGTGGCGAAATTTTATCATAAATATTCTAATCCGTATGTAGATCGCGTTCGTTTTGTTTCCAGTTAAAGTTAATTTTGAACGCTTTAGCTAATAAATGCCAATGCTTAAATCATTTTAGCAAACTGAAACATAATTTCATATAAACACGTGATCAATTAGAAATATGTCAAATTTGTAAATAAATATTTTTTTTTCATATACCGGATGGTGCATGGTCTAGTATTTTTGTTATAACACACCTTAAAATTGATGGGGGTATGCGTATTCCTGGTTTATACAGGGTCGCTGTTATGTATGGAAATGGTCGATTATTTATTTTATCGTACCGCAAAAAATGAAATACAAAATTTATAGGATTTTTAACTATCCATTAGCAAGTAATAAATTTAAGTATACAGGGTAGGTCATAAAGTCGTGGCACATAAAAGTTTCATTTTTTTTAAATAGAACCCCCTGTATATTATTGCATATTTCAATTCTTCCTTCAATTCTAAGCAAAAACCAAAATACACAATGTACCTCAAACCAATCGTTTCCGAGTTATTGACTTTTCATGCCATTCTGCAAAAACTGTGCTACTGTTGTATTAAGTTTTTAAATGCCTATTAGCTACTAGTAAATTTAAGTATACAGGGTCGGTTATAAACGAGGTTATAAAGTTGTGGCAACTTACAACTTTATTTTTTTTAAATGAAACCCCCTGTATATTATTGCATATTTCAATTCTTCCTTCAATTTTAAGCAATAATCGTAATACACAATGTACAGGGTAGGTCAAATTCGACGCTTTTAAATGGAAACACCCTTTTCTATAGGAGATAGACAAAAACTAATATCGGTGTCTGGAGCTCAATTTTTGTCAAAAACATGATGGTGAAAACCGCATATCGACATCTGTTACCGTTTCGGAGTTACAATGTGTTTTTCAAAAATATGCATTTTTAACAAATCGCTGTAACTTTTTTGCTATGGAAAATTTTGTATTTTTATGAAAACATTTCCAAAGCACCTTTTTACGTAGAATTTAATGGTTTATGTATATTTTTTTTTAAATTAATAATTTAAGGATTATCAACAGAAAAAAAAATTTTGATTTTTTATATGGGACACCCCATATATTTTTAATTTATTAAAAATACTTTAAAGTTACCTTTCCAAAAATATAACACACTTGATATTTTTCTCGATTCCTCTTCGAGACATAGAGTATATAAAAATTCGCCGGCTTTAAATAAGTAGTCTTTGAACGGCACCGGCTGTAATGCAACAAAATTCTAGCTGTGAGCATCAATTAAAACGAAAATAATATTTTCTATGAGAGATGCAGAATTTTATAACAATTTAAAAGATATTTAACCAACATCAACACATTTAAACTATATCTAATAACAATAAAAATAGCAAACCAAGACATAAGATTTTGCTACAGGTGTTCGACATATCGACCGTCTTCTGTTATGGACAGACTGGGCAGTTTTTGAACATTTCTCGCTGAATTCATTAACACAGTAGGTGTGAAAGATACCCTTTCATAACTGCTAAGTATTTCTAATTCTTGTCTAGCTTATACGGAAGAATAAGGAACCTTTATTCTTCCGCAAATATATCCATAGGATTAGGTCCATGGGCACTAAATCAGGCGGCCTCGACGGCCAACGGATAGGGTCTTGGTTAGCTATTCAATTATTCTTGAAATTGGCTGCAAAAATTTGCTGATAACTTCAGCGTTAAGAGGCGGTGCGTCGTCTTGCTGGAAAAATATGTTTTCGAGTTCCATTAAGGGCATATCATCAATAAGGGGTCCAAAGTCCAAAGCCTAGTAGTTAAAAGTGGCGAACTTTTAAAAATTCTGTATTTCGAAGGGGATTATAACAAAATATCAAGTGTGCTATATTTTTGGAAAGGTAATTTTAAATTCTTTTCAGTTAATTAAAAATATAGAGGGTGACCCAAATAAAAAAATCAATTTTTCTATTGATAACTCTTAAATTATTAATTTTAAAAAAATTATACTTAAACCATTACATTCTACGTAAAAAGGTGCTTTGGAAATGTCTTCGTAGAAATACAAAATTTTCCATAGTAAAAAAGTTACAGCGATTCGTTAAAAATGCACATTTTTGAGAAACACCCCGTAACTCGTAAACGGTAACAGATATTGATGTGCGGTTTTCACCATCATGTTTTTGATGAAAATTGAGCTCCAGACACCGATATTAGTTTTCGTCTATCTCCTATAGAAAAGGGTGTTTCCATTTAAAAGCGTCTAATTTGACCCACCCTGTACATAAATTGAAGAATTGAAATGTTAAATGAAAATTTTGTAATTTCCAGACTTGATATAATCTCATTTTATACATCTATAAATGCTAACTTGAGAACTAATGTCAAATATTATTAAGTATCACAGCTTCGACAGAATGGCATCGTTAAATGAAACTGAACATATTAATTAAATCAAATTGTTTAAGTGGTATTTTCAAAAGTCAATAACTCGGAAACGGTTGGTTTGAGGTACATTATGTGTATTTCGATTTTTGCTTAGAATTGTAATAAGCAATAATATACAAGGGGTTCTATTTAAAAAAAAATAAAATTTGTATGTGTCACGACTTTACGGACCCTGATATTTAAATTTATTACTCGCCAATAGAAAAAATCCTATATAATTTTTGTATTTAACTTTTTGCGGTACCTCCTATATTTTACCTAATAATCGACCCTTTCCAAACATAACAGCGACCCTGTATAATAACTAGCAGACCCGGCCACGCGTTGCTGTGGCTAAGTTCAGTAATGGACAAATACCCGGTATGTTGAAATTTGCAAGTTTTTGCACCTGGTATCTACTCAAAAGGTCAATAGGTATATTAAATTTTGGTAAATATCATTATACCCGGTATACTAGTATACCCAATCGTACCAGCCTTTTTTAATTTAAGGTATTCTAATAATTTTTTAACAGAATTTTTAATTTAAAATTATTCAATTACTAATATCTCTATTTAATTTATTATCTCAAATTTAGGGTTGTATAAAATTTTTGTCCAAAAAAAATTGGGGTGGGCCACCCTTATCACTTAGGGTATAAATAGTAGTCAACAACTTATTCTCAGATCCACTGATTAAAGATATAAAATTTCATCAAACTAGCTCAAGCCGTTGGGGAGGAGTAGGGTAATAAAAGATTCAAAAAACAACCTCTATTAAAAAATAGGGATTGATGGTAGAAGGGTGAAAATTTAGGGTTGTATGTATTTTTTAATGCCAAATAATAAAAAATTAAAAAAAAATGTTGTCCAAAAAATAAAAAATATAAATTGGGGTGAGCTAACAACCGAGCTAACAACCTATTCTCAGACCCACTGATTATATTATAAAATTTCATCAAAATCGGTTAAGCCGTTTCGGAGGAATAAAGCAACAAAAACTGTGACACGAAAATTTTATAATATATTAGATTTTAATTTATTAATTCTTACCTTATTTTCTTCCTCTACGTTTGGTTCTGCAACGTTCTAATGACAAGTATATTCTTGAATCAGAGTTCTTCTTCAACTCAATACCACTGCACGTTTATACTGAGCAAACGTCAATCCATTTGGACACTGAAATATTAAAAAATAGATGATGTACTTCGTTATTAAAAGTAACATATAAAAAAACCAATTTAATTTAAAGAGAACTTTAAAGAGAACTGATAGTTAATTTGAATTTTAAATTGATTGTCTGCTGTAAGAAAATATATTGTTAATATGGGAGTTTTCATAGTATATTATTACCTAAAATATCCCGAGAGAAGCATATTATGCACGAATGGAAAGTTGTGCAGTTAAAAACATAGTCACAACACACCATGTCGTGCGTCGATACCTATTAAGCTCCGCGCGCACTGCATCGGATCGGACCGACCAGCAAAAGCGACTGCGACCATCGTACATATAGACGGCGCCGCTAACTAAAACATTTCGGCCTGTAGAGGCCAGATTCCTACCTCTACCTATCTACGATAGTCGAGTCACCGCCTTCGCCGTTTCTCGCCGGACTGGTACCGATTCAGTGCGCGTACACTTTTAGCCCGCGGTTACATTGGACGCGGGTCCGTGCGTTTTTTATACGTGCGAGCTCTGACGGAATTTACTCGCACGACTATCTTATTGTAGTGGTTACATTAGATGCGCGTTTATGGTGTCCTGTGGGTCGAGTTTGTCAACGCCACTACTTTGATGCTGTGTGAGGATATAATGTTAAAATAACTACTCATGAAAAAAGAAGAAAATGTTGGCTAAATTATTTATATGCAAGAAGAGAAGAAAGTTAATATGTAAAACATTTCGTGGATTAAGACAGCAACCGGTCAAATTTTTTGAATATTTTGTGTCTCTCCATCAACATTAATATATCCCAAATAAAATTAAACCTGGTATTCAAAAACATTCAAATTTTTCAGAAATGTATTGGGATCAGGGAAGAAATATTCGAACGCTCGGACGTGCACGTATTAAAAAAACAAACCAGTTTGTTTTCATCCGACCAACGGAAATTGACGTACGTGCTCGGACGCGCAAACTCCGACGCAATGTAACCGCCTGCGTAGATTGCATTTGTTTGTTTTTTGTTGCGTGCATGTCCGTGCACGAACGACCAAAAAAACGTACGGCCACGCATTCAATGTAACCACGGGCTTTAGTCTAGTCAAATTGTACTCTCAAAAAAGCCACTTCGGGGAAGGTTTTTGGGTAGTTCTAATGTCTTCCATACAGGGTGTTTAAAAAAATATGCCATCTCTCGTGGGGAGATCCTTCACGTCAAAAAATAAGTTTAATTTTTCATATCAACATAGATCCGATTCTGCTTTGTTTCGTAGCTGCAGGGTGTTAAGTACTTTTAGTGATTCGAATGAAATTTTGAGGGTAAAAGTTACTATAAGTCTAAGATATTTTAATACTAAAAAAGTGTCGATACATTTATCAGGGACGTGCATATGGGTTATCATTGGAATATTTAAAAAAAAAGTGCGCCACTGACTTTTTTTCTGTTGATATCAAAATTATGTAGGCTGTTTAATGCCAATTAAGAATTATCTCTTAATATTTTGTCGAATTCGGCCTTCTTGATCAGATAAACGCAATTTTATTAATCACAATTAATAAATTTAAAATAAAAATAAAATTAATTATTTTTGTATTTTACCTAATTTATTATTAAATGTTATTGCTATTAGAGATTATTACTATTAGTCCAACCTATAGCAATTTCAAATAAAAAAAAATAATGGTGTTTAAGATAATTACAAAAAAACTAATTTTAAAAATTTTACATTTAATTTCCATACCCATGTTTATAGGAACTTTTTTTTCATATTTTTTGATGAGTGATAACCCATATGCACGTTTCTGATGAATATGTTGCATTTATAGTAAATTTTACCCTCAAAATTTAATTAATAAACGCTAAAAGCACTTGGAAGAAAATTATAATAAATCGAAAAAGTATTAAAACTTTAACATCCGAACTACGAGACTAACACTTTAGCTACGAAACAAAGCAGAATCGGACCTGTGTTGATATAAAAAATAAATCTTATTTATATGTGAGGAATTCCCCACGAGAGATAGCACATGTTGTTTAAAACACCCTGTAATATATTGTTTTAAGTGTGCCGAATTCAAATCCTATGCCTCAACCGCACATGCGGCATTTAGCGAACTTCGAGCGCTCGTCAACTACCGAACGCTCGTGATGGGACTTCGCCTTTCCACCCACACATGTGAGATGCGACACATGTTTCGTCGTCGAGTCGAGAGATACATCGAGTCGCCGAACTCCGACTTCGAGAAGCACGAATTTCAACAATTGTTATATCACCGCCGGTAATAAAAAAATCAAATATATATATTATATTTAAATTATGTGTGAATATAAGTACAGGTATAGTTGCAAATGAAGGAATTCGCTGTTAAACAAAATATGTATGAAAATTATAGAGCGCATTATGGGTGGTAATAAACTATCAAATTTAAATTTATTGAAAAAGTTAAACCTCTTGCAATAATAAAGAACTCTGTAAAGAGAGAAAACAGAACTATAATTACAATTAAATCAGGTTTTTCCAACGAACTGACATCGTATAACATTGAGATAATTAATTTTTGCCTTTCGAGCTTACTTCCTATTATCTTTCTCTTTTGTTATTATTAAGAACGCAAACGAGATTATTAAAATCGGTTCAGCCTTTTTTGGATTACAAATGGTGTAACTAATTCGACCTTGTTTTATTTATTTGGTTGTCAAAGGATTTTTTAATTTGACTGGCTATGACGACAGCTTTGTTATCGGGCGATTATTGCCAAACAAAATGTTTTTCAGAGCATTTTGTTTATCGTTTGTACTAACGCTATTTACCTCACGATAGATCCTTTATTTTGGCTGTTTTACATATGGACGCAGGCAATAGTTATTTATATACCAGGGGCGTATTGCAGGCAATTTGACCAAAGCATGGACCTAGTGCATATAATTAACAATCATGCCGAAAGCCATAATTGCTTATTTTTTTTATTTTTCATGGGCTTTTCAAAAAGGCGCCACAAGTGGGGTGTTGCCATTTAAGATTTTCAAGTGAGTAGGGGTGCCGCCTTAGGGGTAGGTCGGGGTGGTTCAAAAAATACGTCATATGTATTCCCCCTCGATATTATAGAAACGGCATTTTTTATTTTTTTTATATCTTTTTTGGTTTTAAAATTATAGCCATTGTAAGTTCTCAGTGGCCCACCCTGTATAAGAACGCTAATAGTTCAAAAAAAGAGAATAGCTAACAGTAACTTTCTTCCTAATTTTGTACAAATATATAGAGTGTTGGTTAATGACATCCTAATACGTACGGAGGAAAAACCTTTCATAATGTATGTCGTAATCAAGTTAACTTTGGAGATACAGAGTGGTATTATTTTCTTTAAAATAACTTTTTTTTTAATAGTTACTCTGATGGTAATCTTTATCAAGTTTCATACACGTCTTCTATGCATAACAATGAATATTTTGATGTACAAGAAAAATACTTGTTGTACCTCTTAATTTCTATCAGCGGATGTAGAAAAGATTTGCACGCAACAGTCACCTATCAGATTTTTTGCGATTTGATCTGAAAGTAAAATGATTAAATTTTTTTAAGCAAAAACTATCCGTCGGGCGAAAAAAAAATGAAGATATTAAAATTGTTTAGATATGAATGAAGATTTTGACAATGTTTATTTTAGTAGGAGTCCGTGGTATACCATTTTTTCCTTAAAAATATGCAATTGTAATGTAAGTAAAACTCACATGAGCGCCTACTGGTAAAATAAATATTATTGTTTGTACATTAAAAAAGGTATTTTCATGCATAAGAGACACGTATCAAGTTTCATAAAGAAGTATATTATATATAATAATAGCAGAATTACTATGTAAAAAAAATAGAAAAAAATTCCACTCTTTATCATAAAAGTTAATACAGAAAACACGATAATTGAACACAAAAAAAACTTGTAATTTTTTGAAAAATTTTTGGTATTTTCTTTAGTTAAAAAAAACATTATTTTTTTATATATGGCAAGATAGGTAATACATTAAATTTGCAAGAAAGAAAACCCACAAATGATCAAGTGGTTCTCATAAGGAAAATAAGGAATTTAAGGAAAATATACTTTTTTCCAAATTTTCAAAATAAAATAACTCGGTTATTTTGGACTTATTTGGAAAACGGCCAAAAGAAAATATGTTTCTATTATCGAGATCTACCAGCCGTGAAAATATTTGCACTTATTTAAGCCTCACCCTGTATTGCCCCCAGAAGCCATTTTTCTTATCATATTTCTCTATTACAAATTATTCGTCATCTGTAAATCTGAAATAAATAATTCATCTTTTGTAAATCGGTTTTGAAACAAAAATCCATTCCATTTGAATTTATTCAAAGTCATAAACATATAAATAGGTTTAACATCATATTTCAATGTGGACATAGAAGTTTAATTCGTTCACTCAAAACGCTTTAAGGAAACTGTATTTTCCAGTACAAAAAACTGCTAGGACAAATCTCTTATACTAAAAGTTGAAAATGAGCCAGAGCTTATTCAATTAAGAATATCGATTGGAAAGAGAGTACGGAAAGGACAATCGAGCCAACATCCCCTGTTCACTTTTAATTAATATTAATGGCACTGTGCGAAACCCAAATTGCCCTTAAATGTTATTTTATGGCTAATATTCTTTAGTAATTTATCAAGCGCGGATGTTTTACTATTCGGCCATTAATAAATTTTAACAATTTACTTCTTCCGACCGCTAAACGACCTTTTATTACTCCATAAATAACATACTTATGAGCTTTGTTCTCCGAGGGTAGCTGAGAGAATCAAGAATTTTTTCGTTTGTTTATTTTAATTGTTCCAGCCGGATTTAATTGGAAAAGCAGTTTATTTTCTGGAAAAAAAGGTCTACTAGGTTCATTAAGCTTCAAGCGCTAACGTGCGGCCTGTGGGACCCCGGTAAGTATATTTTATCTTACAACGTGACAATTTAGCATAAATACATAGTAGG